TAATAGTTCATAAGGAGATTTATTTTGAAGAACAGAAGTAGGCAGTCTGTTAATAATATGAACAACAGTAAGTATACAATCAGACCAAAAAGATATAGGTAAACAAGATTGAAATAAAAGAGCTCTAGCAATTTGCAAAATATGTTGATGTTTTCTTTCAACTCTACCATTTTGTTAAGGAGTTTCAACACAAGATAATTGATGAAGAATACCATTTGAATTATAAAATTCAGGAAAAATAAATTCAGTGCCATTATCAGTTCTAATGATTTTAATTTTCTTTTGAAATTGAGTTTCAATGAATTTATAAAAATTCATCATATGAAATTTAACTTCAGATTTGGTTTTGAGTAAAAATACCCAAGTGCATCTAGTGTAATCATCAACAATAGTAAGAAAATATCTAAAACCTGTATAAGAAGTAACCTTATAAGGACCCCAAACATCCATATGAATCAAATCAAAGGTATTAGAAGAATGAGAATTGCTAATAGGAAAAGGAAGTCTTTTTTGTTTAGCAAAATGACAGATATCACAAGGAAAAGAGTGTTTCTCATTGTTTGATGTATTACATTCAGTCAAGAAAGAAAGTTTATTAATAGGGAAATGTCCTAATCTAAAATGCCAAAGAGTAGTAGAAGAAGCATCATATTGAGAATGAGTATTTGCAGAATGCACAGTAGGAGTATGTGATATGGAAGAGTCATAATGATAGTGATATAATCCATTTTGTAAATCAGCAAAGCCAATCATTTTGTGAGTAAGGTGGTCCTGCAATATAGCATGTTTAGAAGTGAAGTAAACAGAGACATTATCATGAGAAGTTAAGCTGGAGATGGATATAAGATTATAAGTGAAATTAGGAACATATAAGACATTTTGAAGTGTAAGGTAAGAATTCAATTTAATATCACCAATTTTAGTTGCAGAAATAAAATTTCCAGTTGGCAATTGTATATTGATAGAAATATTTTTTGTTGGAGTAGTGTATAATGAAGCATCATAAACCATATGGTCAGATGCTCCAGTATCCAGTATCCATTTAGAATTTTTAAAAGTATTAAAAGCAAAGTAGTTACCTACAAACTGAGTATCTTTAGAAGAAGTAGGAGAAGAGGTAGGAGCAGTAGTAACCACATTTGCAGAAGCATTCTTTGTTTGTTGAGTTTGCATGAATTGTAGGAATTTGTCATATAGAGTAGGATCAAGGAAGTCAGTTGTTGCAGGAGTAGTATTTGTTGATGTAGGTGTGGATTCTGTGTAGTTAGACACCATGTGTGCTTGAGGATTTTTGTTGGAGTTAAAATGAGGTTTGAAGCCAGGGGCAATTCTTTGACCTTTTGGACCTTTCCAATTATCAGGATAACCAATGATTTGAAAACATTTTTCAGCAGAGTGACCTTGGTAGCCACAATGAGTACAAATAACAGAATTCTTTTTCTTGAAATTTTTAACAAGAAAAGCAGTAGAATCAGTTTGGAATTTTTCAGAAGAATGAGAATCTGAAAAAGGAGTAGTAGAGGAAACAGAAGACTGGAGACATCTTTGAGATTCTTCTTGTAAGAAGATAGAGTATATATTTGAGAGAGTGGATTTTTCAGTGTTAAGAAGAATTTGACTTCTTAAATGAGCATAAGAATCATTCAAACCAACAAGGAATTTTAGAATAGACTCTTTTTGAAGTAATTTTTGATAAGTTTCAGATATATTGCAAGTGCACTGACCACAAGTACAAGAAGGAATAGCTCTAAAATCAGAATACTCATCCCAAATTTCTTTAATGGAATTATAATATTCAGTAATATTTCGAGAACCTTGAGAAAGATTTCCTAGAGATTTTTCGAGTTGAAAAAGTCTAGGTCCATCACTTTTACCGTACCTAAGTTGAACTTCATCCCAAAGTTCCTTAGCATTAGTAAAATATAGAAAGGTACTCCGAAGACTTGGAGAAATAGAGTATATTAACCAGGATAAGAGAAGAGCGTTGATACGATACCAGGTAGAGTAAAGACCTTCGTCTGAGTTTGGTTGTTTGATAGATCCGTCGAGGAAGCCCATTTTGTTCTTCACCGCCATAGCCATTGAGACAGGCTTCTTCCAAGCAACGAAGTTATCTCCTGTGAGATTTTCGTAGATGATGTGTAAACCAGCATGGTCGCTTGGATGAAGATGATAAGGCGATGAAGGATCTTCGAGTGGATTCAGCGGTAAAGCCATGAATTTAGCAGTAAAGATTTTCTAGGGTTTTGAGAAGTAATCGATTATGAAATCGATTTAGAAGAGAATCGGATCGATTATAGAAATCGATGTAGGAAGAATAAACGTAAACGAAGGTCGGAAGAGAATCAGTAGGATCGAAACCCTAAATCTGATACCATGTGAATATTGTAGAGCAGAGCAACAGAGCAGTTCGGAAGATGAGATTTGATAAAATGAAGAAGAATGAATTGATTCGTACAGAGTAGGTTAATTTTACAGTATTTATACAAATAGGCTGTAAGGTGAAAATAACATGGGCTGGTATAAAAGGCCCAATAAAAGAATAGAAAACAGTCCAGTCCATTCCAGATAATTATTCTTTAGATACATTTTGTTGCAATGCAATCTCTCTAAATTTTTTCTTTTTTTGATTTCAGATATCAAATGACAACTTAAGTAGGGGTTACAATATATGAAACTTTCTTTGTAAAAATTGATGATTTCCTTATGAGTATGTGAATTGTACTCTTATTCTTATTTATGTTTTGTGTCTTCTGTTTATGACAGGCCTTGTGGGTGCATCATTTTTGTGATTCTAGCTACTGTTTATAAATTCTGGATTTGGATTAAATTTGTGGGGCTATGGTAGTTTTTTGAGCCCGCGTTCTGCAAACTTTTAAGTGCAGTTTTTTTTGTTCAGTTTGAATAGCAGGGCTACTTTTGGATTGCCAACTTTATCAATTCTGCAATTATTTGAGGCTGCAATCTTCAAACTGTAAAAAAACAGTACAGTTTTTTTGTTCAGTCTGAATAGCAGGGCTACTTTTGGATTGAAAACTTTATCAATTCTGCAATTATTTGAGGCTGCAATCTTCAAACTGTAAAAAAAATGTTCTTTTAGATTTTGGTAAAAAACAGTTCTTAGTTTTGGTACTATCCTATTGATTAGGTTGTTTTTTGAACTCCCTTTCCATTGTGTTTTTGGCCCTCTATGGAGTATGGAAGCTTTAGCAGATTTGTTTGTTGAATTGATGCTGCACTTTGGTGAATAGATGGGCTGCCCCTGTATTGCTACCTTTATGTGGTAGACTACCACCGGTAGTTAGAACTTAGAAGGGATCAAGCCTCAAGGGAAAACCATTTGAGCTTGTTTTGTATTGGATGTTTGGTTACATGATAATATGATATAGTGCATAAAAAAATTCTATAATATTTCTTTTGTATAGGTTTGTTTAAACCAATATACTATTTTTGCAATTCCAATTCTAAATAAAATATAGTATTCACAAAAAAAAGGGATAATAAGTGAAAATATTTTCGAATACGAATATTCGAATCAAATCGAATAATATTCATTTAAGTACACGAATCGAATTCAAATACTTTTATAGGTTCGAAATATAAACGAATACAAATACGAATCTCAGTCAAAACCTTCGAATTCGAATCGAATTACTAAATATTTGACTCGATCCGCTTCGTATACATCCCTACTACCGCCGCATAACGTGTCTATGTGACCATCACAATTTTTTTCAGTGACCTTTCTCTGCTGTCTTTTCAGATGATCGTCGACTTTGACGGAAGTCGTCAGTGATGGTTACAAGAGGTGACATGAGGCAAGGGCGGGCATTTGGATACAAATTAGGAATTAGTGGAAAAAATGAATTAAACGGATTACACAAAAGGTAATCACACTCAAAAACTAAACATAATTTTATGTCAAATCATACTTATGTCATTTTTTTTATTTACATCGCGTTATTCTACTTGCGAGTTGCAACAGTGTCTTAGCCTATATTCTCAAAGCATACAGCCTCCCTTAAGGAGAATGGAAGTCGTTAGCGGCATTTTTTTTAACTCATAATTGTATATCTTATCAATTGGACATATCATCAATTACCACATACAATTGTTACTCATATTTTCATGAATCTACTTGCTTGTTTTTTAATGCATTTTAATGTTTGACAATTTAGTTTCTGCGTATAAAATTTCACACTTCACCTTGAGTTGAACTTTATTTGCAAATTTATTTGATGCTGATACAATAACAAGTCACCTTCTTCGAGTTGCATGCTCTTCTACTTAATGAATTAGTTTTTAAAAGGAATATTTTGAGTTTGCACCCCATTTTATTGTTGAAATTAGACTTTGCACCTCATTTTTGAAATCTTTAGTATTTGCACCACAACCACGTATGAAAAGACTAAAATGCCCCTCAGTTAACAATTTTGTTGGCCTTTAACATATTTCTGATCGAGGGGCATTCTTGTCTTTTCATACGGGGTTAGGGTGCAAATACTAAGGATTTCAAAAACGGGGTGCAAAGTCTAATTTCAACAATAAAGTGGGGTGCAAACTCAAATTATCCCTTTTTAAAAATGTCTAAACATATTACTACTTCACCGGCAATCCATCACTATCCCTGATACGCCATTGCATTAGCCACTACCCCAACCCCAATCCACCATCGTCTTTGACACACTGGGGCTGTTTGTTTCTTGGCGGTTTCAGTCAAAACGCTTCAAAAAGCAGCGATTCCCCTTTGTAAATAAATGGCGATTTGGCCTAAGCCGCTGATATCCAAACGGGGTCACTAACAACAGCATAAATACTCTGTATGAAATAATGCATAAAATTCTAGTCTAATTAAAACATTCTAAACATAATTATTCTCATTTAAAGAATTAAAACAAACTACTACGTACGTACTATTCTGAATACGGAGTACGTAATTTTTAAGAACAAAAATGTAGGGCCCACACCTTATTTTTAGACAAACAAAGTTGTTTGTAAACAAACAATTTCTGTATTTTCAAGATAATTGTATGTATAAACTCTGCGGCTTTCTTCTTTGTCCGTCGTTTCTCGGTACTCTGATTCTCGAATAAATCCCAATCACAGAAGTGGTAAGAGCATCCCGGAAAATTGGTGAATATCCAGGGGCGAAATTCATTTGGCCGCAATGACGAATCCAAATGGCATACGTGCTTCTCCTTCTCCACAAAAGCCTTCAATCACTCACGTCATATTCGATATGGACGGCCTTCTTCTTGGTATGTGCACACACAATGTTGCCACGATTTTCTATTTCTTATATATTTTCAGCTTTAAGAGTTCCGTTTGAAATTGCACCTGCAAGATTACAGCGTACTGGTGAAATTGCATAAATCTATCTCAGAATCCTTTCCCGCTAGCGAGGACTCCAGTTCCTCACAATGAACCTACTATGTGACTTGCCTTTCATCCTTAACTTCAAATTGGGTTTTACGAGCTAAATGCAGTTTATCCTTCTGTTTGTTTTTTCTTTCGCATTCTACACTCAACATCTGGTTCTACTTCGATCGAGCTGTGAATCTGTATATGCATATAAGACTATGCCTTCCATAAAAAGAACCCAGTTTGATTAAAAGAAATTAAGTTTTCATCTAAGTTGTCAAAATCTTGCTGTAAAAGAGTAACGGATAAGTTTCATTTTATAAATTTAGTCAAATCAACAAATAAATTTTAATTTTTTTATTAGGTATATTTCTTTTTTTGGGCGAAGGTAGATTCTTTTTATGAACAGATTCATGTATATAAATATACCCATTTCATACTTATTGATTAGGTAATTTTTTTATATATCCGGAGTAGCATTTTTCAGTCTTATTTTGAACTGTAACAAGGATCATCTTGTTGTACCCTTTTAGTAGAAATTTTAGTCTCTAATGGTCTAATTAACTAGGTCTAATTAACTAGGGAGTTTTTTTGCATAATTTAATTATGAGGAATTGAGTTTAGTAAATGCTGCATAACGGAGTGTCTAAAAGCTGCATATAAGCTCCTATGGGTAGGTTAGCGTATTCCAAACCACTGAGTCAAGGGTTTGACGCAGGTACTAGAGGGAGGAAGAAAAAAAAGCAGTTTACCATTATTTATCTCTCTAGTATTAAAATCTCCGGTGTCCATTTCTGACTGGCTAGTTCCTTAATTTCATTCTGTGGATGCTACATTTACAGAATATAAGGGCAACATATATCACTTTTAATTCTTTTCTTGGGGTGTCTGATTTTGTCCTAGTAGAAAAACATGGTGGTTTTAGCCGGACCCAAAATCTTTCGGGGCTAAGGCTTGGATGTTGTTGTTGTAGAAAAATATGGTGGTTTGTTCTTAAGAGATAAACTTTTTCCCTCTAAAAACTTGATTCTTGATGACTGGAAGTCTGGAACTACCCATTAATTGGATCTTAGAAGTTAGAACTATATCTTTAAGTTAAACTTAAAATGAATTGAGTTGGTCTGATTTCAATTGTATTTGTTCTTCCATAGTTTAAAAAGATGGCACTAAGGCTTGCAAATTTAAGTCATTGGAACAAGGCCTTAAGGACTTTTTCAGGATTAAACTTCAAAAGTCTGATGTGTGTTTTATTTATAAAAGGCTAAAAATACAAAATAAATACATGGGATCCATTGAAACTGAACCCTACTTCGTTCTTTTCCTTAATGTGTGCGCTGTCAGGAATCTTCATTAAGTATGGTCTTCTGTTTTCCTCCAAAATAGCTTCATTAGCCCATTGTGTGAATTGATCTATTCTCTCAAAGAAAAGAGCAGGAATTGGTTTTCTGGTATTCCACATCAGTATGATTCCTAAAATACACTCTCTCCTTTCCAAATTACTTGTCTCTTGTACTACTAATCAGTCAATCCAATTCTCTTTTAATTATTTACCAATTTTGTCATATTCAAATCTGACTTTTGCAATTCAATAAAAGTTTTAGTTTGTTTTAAATATGTTAATTTTGATTACTATTAATAATTTAAATATGTGAGACAACTAATTGGAATTTGGACTCTTTAACTCACCATCTAGGGATAATCACAAGATGAGAATATGAAATATGTGCTTATTCACAAGGGAGAACCTGGACCCATCATATTTCTCAACAATAAATAATAACTCACCCACCACAAATATTGATTATCCCCAACTCGTGCCACAAAAAATCAATCTGTGCCAACTTAAGTGCATTTGACCTTTTGTGAAGAGTTCTTCTAGTTGTTAAACAGTCTTCACACACAAAATGGTATAACGGAATCAAGTCTCTCTGTATCTTCTTGTGCACAATATGGCTTGACTTTTATTGGCTTGGTTCACTCTGGACAAATGTGATTATGAGCTATATGAAGAGAAGCTTGATTGTCACACCATGACTTTGTGGGGATATAAGCTTTAAAATTTGTCTTGCTCAAGTAGCTGTATATTCAAATGATTTCACATGCATATATTATGAATTCACCATTACTTTGTGGGAATATAAGCTTTAAAATTTGTCTTGCTCAAGTAGAGACATCATCATCATCATTTTCATTTACCCAGTGCCGCAAAGGCTCCCACCTACGGTGGGGTAAGGGGGGGGGTCGGAGGTACGCAGTCTTACCCTTGTACTAAAGCACAGAGAGACTGTTTCCGGATGACCCATAGTGAAAATCCCGTCCAAAATTGCATGGACTGACTGCTTCTTCATAACAAAGAAGCGCAGACAGTTTAGTGAGCCATTTTGCTTTATTCCATCATAATCTCAAGCCAAAAAATAATGAATCTTTGGCTCCATTGCAAATGATGTAAAATGCTCAAGTAGAGACATATTCAAATGATTTCGTTTGCTTATATTATGATTGCGTGTTGGATGGTGAGACAATATTCTGCTTCTTATCTTCCTGCCTTTCATGATACCACATTCCACCATCAAAAACAAAATAATCAGTTGTAGATTTTCAATCTTCTTTGCATCCTTCGCAAGCAGCGGTTTTGTAGCATTTAGTTCAATTAAGCTCGTCATCTTGAATTGTTGATTGATGAAGCAATGACCAGGATCTACCTTTAGACAACATAAGAAATGTTCCAAAGTAGCCTAGTGATCAACAACCGGGGGTGACAAATAGTGGATCACGATGATGACAGGATGTACAATGTTTAAATGAGTTGTTATTAGATAATTCAATTCAATTTGTTAACAAATTTCTATGTCTTTTTGGATTCTCAAATGGCTTTTTTATATCAACGGCATATTTGGAACCATGGGACTTTTGGCTTCTCAATTATGAAAGATATGTTCCTTCCTTATTCATTGTCTGAAAATTGGGTATGAAGGGACACCTTGATGGATGAGATGTATGTAGTGTCAATTCCTGTATTGATAATGTCATCCCCATAAACCACCATTCACTGACATGATCCTGCTCTAGGTTCAGTAGGTTGATCATAAATGACAGAGCAATCTGATTTCCTTTTATCATTCCAAACCTTCCATTTTTTTGGCGGAAGTGCGGAACTTCTCAAACATGGCACATGGACTTTATGTCTTTATGTTAAACCACAAAAAGATTTGCGCAGACAATACGCATTCTCCCTGAGCTACAAAACCATGAGGTTGTTTAGAATGCAGCTTCTCTTGAAGACCCCATGTAAGGAGGCATCATTGATATTCAACTCATGGAAGGGCTAATCATAAATAGCTTTCATAGAGATGAGTTACTTAACAGATAACAGGTCATTCCACCCGATTACAAGAGAAAACGTGTAAAATACCAATCACAAGTTTGAGCATAACCTTAGCTACCCAACGGGATTTTAACTGATAAATTGATCCACGATTAAGTTCAACAACACCCAGTTCCATCCAACAGCCTTGTTCTGACTACCCTTAGGGCACCGCTATCCTGAAAATCATCAGTATTGCTACCCAATCTATCTGGGTACAGAATACTAATTGAAAAGTGTGTTAAAGAAGAAGCATGGTCAGAGGCCGGCGAACACACTTAGCTTAGGGCATGTACCTAGTTATCGGAGGTTGGCGAACACAAGAAACAGTAGAACCAACACACGATCGGGCAACTCTGATGACTCAGAGGTTGGGAAGCGTGAAAATGAGAGAAGAGTTTAACCTTCATATAGGGTGGCCTTTGGCTGATTATGGGTGCTATGGGAGATGGATCCATGGTCAATCAAAGCGTCCATTGTGGCATGACATGACATGCATTTAATATGACAAAATGACCAACGGCCCCCCAGGTGTGAATCTGAATTATAAAACTGGAACATTTGGACATTTTTGATTTCCTGCCAGTAACAAGATCACCTTTGGTAGAGAGGCACAGATACAACTTTTAGTTCCTAGGCTTTATGACAGTGCAGGAAGTGAAGGACTCGGTGATGGGATAAATCCGCTTGGCCTGGCGGCTCGCACATAACTACTGGGCGGCCTACCCTTCAAAGTTCGAACTGATCAAGCGAGTCATATCCAAAAACCGAGGATGGGTAGTGGAGGCCAGGCTCTTATTAACAGAGATGACTGGTTGTCAACAGAGTACCAGATAATTGTAAGATCAGCCCTAAAGCTAGCTGACAGCTACTAGCATAAGTCAAGTTCAATCCACTCAGGCACCAACTCATGTCCATGTATGTTTTATGCGGCCTTGCGGAACTCTCACTTGGTCCTATAGATATCTCCTAGCCATAAAGAATATGTTCCACTTTTGTTATATTAGAAAGAGAAATTTGTCCCTTCGGGGACATCCGATAAAATTAGAACGATACAGAGAAAGAGAAATTTAGTGTAGCCTTGTATGCCAGCTCTGTTCCTTTGTACGTTTGTACTCTAGACTTTGTACATGTAAGTTGTAACTTTAGCTGATACACAGAAACACACACTGCATGGGTAGGTGCTCCTGCCCATATCCTCTTACTTGTTCTGTGTTTTCTGTAACGTCATCCTACTTCAGTCCAACCAGTGTGGCCTAGTCCAGACTTTCCAGACCAATCACAGACCCCCTGTTACATTACCACAAAGTTATACAATGAACCCTAGACCTTAGTCCCATGAGATTTGATTTTGTGGCCATTGAGCACGCACTTCTGGCACCTGTGTAGTCATTATCATCTTATTTTTACATGTTTTAACGAAGTTATCTTTTTATGGTGATGTGTCTTAGCTGATATCTTATTGTTTATACTTTATCTTGGTTCTTGATCTTAGACACAGAGAAGTTCTACACTGAAGTCCAAGAGATTATACTTGCTAGATACAACAAGACATTTGATTGGTCACTCAAGGCAAAAATGATGGGTAAGAAGGCTTTAGAAGCAGCTAAGGTATTTGTGGAGGAGACAGGAATTAATGATTCTCTGACAGCTGAGGATTTTCTTGTTGAAAGAGAAGCTATGCTGCAGAATTTGTTTCCAACCAGTGAACTCATGCCAGGTACCAACTTTAGAGCTTGACATATTTTTTTGCACTGCTTTTGCAGATCCTTTCATCATTCCACTTCCATAGCCTTCCTCCAAAGAAACATGCAATCTGTTAGGTTTCAATGCACCATCTGGAGCTTATGGCTGACAGGATCAGCATGAACTGTGCAACACCCATTCATGTGTGATAATGGAATGCATCAAAGACATTTAATTATCAGACCATGCATGTGCCTCATGTTCTATTTGCTTGAAAATTTTGTGATGTAATCTGAACTTATAAGATCTGATATGTATCTTTTGGTTTGATATAATCCGGTCTGAATTTTTGGGGGTCTTCTGAGTTGAACTTTTGGTCTTTTGTGATCTTGTCTAATAGTTCGAAGTATAACATGTGTTCTAATCTACATCTTCATGGTCTGATAAGCTCACAGAGTTTCTAGTCTTGTCTGATATTGTCAGCAGTAATAAAAAGGAATCAGGTTAACAGAATACACCTAAGTTCTTCCCCTTCATTTGGCTACTCTATCAGGAATATTTTACACATCAAATAGAGTATGTTTTATCTCCGTCTCAGGAACATTCATGTATGTTTGGGGACTTCTGTCTCCATCTTTGGAGCATTTTGTTTTCCCCTATTTGAATTTTTTTCTCATTCATTGTACTAATAACTCATAATCTCTTTCACTATTACAACAACATTCAAACCTTAATCTCAAAAGATTTTTGGGCCATCTTAACACGAATCGGTACATGATATTGGAGCCAAAAGGAAAAGAAAGATAAAACATAATGTATGATAAAAATATACAATAAAGATAAGCATACAATAGAGAGAAAATTGATAAGATAAAAAGAATATATATAAAATAAAAAATGATAAAAGGATAGGCAACAACATAAGAAAGATAAAAAAGATAAAAGGACGAAAAGGATGATAAGAAATCAATCTATCACATCAATACCCGCCCTCCACTTTGCTCTCTCCAAGGTCATACTCTCATCCAATCCAAGAAGAAGCATATCACTCCTGACTACTCTAATCCACGTCTCTTTGAGTCTTCCTCTTTTTCTCCTCCCCGCCCCTTCTCCACACTTCTCAACTCGTCTAATAGGTGCATCACTCGGTCTTCTACGCACATGGTCAAATCACTACAATTGAGACTTCCGTGTCTTATCTTTAATAGGTGATATTCCCACCTTTTGTCTGATTGCCTCATTCCTCAAGTGGTTTGTTTCGTATGCCCACACATCTAACGTAGCATGCACATCTCTGCCACACTCATCATTTGAATGTGATATTGTTTCACCGCCCAACACCCTAGGCCATTTAATAATGTATGCCTAATTGATGTCTGATAAAATTTACCCTTCAATCTAGTTGGCATACCTCGATCACATAAAAATCTTGACGCACTCTTCCATTTCATCCACCATGTTCTGATTCTATGGGATACTATCCTTTTTACTGCTATAAAAAAATCGTAAATCATATAAATCTAGACATACTCACTTGTGCTATTATGATGGAATAAAGCAAAATGGCTCACTAAACTCTTTGCGTTTCTTTGTTATGAAGTATCAGTCAGTCCATGCAATTTTTGGCGCGATTTTCATTATGGGTCATCCAGAAATAGTCTCTCTGTGCTTTAGTACAAGGTGTAAGGTTGTGCACATCCGACCCCCCCTTACCCCACCGTAGGTGGGAGCCTTTGCGGCACTGGGGTAATGTTGTTGTTGTTGTATACTCACTTGTGCTATTAAAATATGATATCCTTTCATAATTCATACATGATATGACTAACTAGATAGCTCTAAATCTTTGTGAACATGGGTTACATGTTTAACCATTTTGTCTGATTGTAGGTGCTGGCCGCCTGATTCTGCACCTTCATAAAAAAGGAATACCAATGTCTGTTGCAACGGGGTATATTTTCTCCCTTTCTGTTGAGGCTTAATTATTTTTTCAATACACCAGAAGGGGAGGCTTGAATTCTTTCTATTAGGGATTTCAGCAGCTTAGTTTTGAACATTCATACTAAATGTTGTTTAATGAGACATAATTGATTTATGTGTGTTACAGCTCTCACAAGCGCCACTTTCAATTGAAAACAGAACAATATGATGAACTTTTTTCATTGATGCATCACATTGTTGTTGGTGATGACCCAGAAGTCAAACAAGGGAAACCTTCGCCTGATATTTTCCTCACAGCAGCTAAAAGATTTGAGGTTTTTTCCCAGTAAATGTCAATGTCTTCTTTTTTTCATAGGATATGATTGAAGCTATGACCATGGAATAATATTAGGCCCTGACCTTTTCATTTGTACAGGATGCATCTGTTGATCTGCATAAAGTTCTTGTTTTTGAGGATGCTCCATCAGGTGTTCTTGCTGCTAAGAATGCTGGCATGTAAGTCAGATGTGACCCTTGCATCAAAACTTAGAGTTTTGTGACTGAAATTTAATTTTTTGAGTATCAAAACTTAGAGTTTCATCCTAAAAAGTTAACATGATAGAAAGAGTAGGCTAAACCCGTACATGGTGCTTTATATCTTTATATGTCATCAGTGTGAGATGACCTAATATGCCGGTAAAATGGTAGTGTTGGATACTTGGATCAAACCAATGATGAAATCTGTGTGCTCTTGGTTGGATTTTAATTGGATTCATTACTCGTTTGAGCTTAATGGGCTTTGGTGTCATATTAGAACTCAGAGTTCAATTTTAAAAAGTCACATGAGTAGTTCAAAGCATACTATGTCGGTTTTTGTATTTATACATAATATAGTGCCAATCTCTTGTGCACTTGATACATTTACTCTAGTACATAATGCAATGTAGCAATGTTTTATTTAAGTTTCACTAATTTTTTACTTTGTACTGAAATTGTTGCCATTTTGACAAGACATAAGATTTAAAAAGCGAAACTATGTGATTGGCATTTATTTATAATTGAGATATATTATAAAAATGGGCTATATTTTTTTAAATGGACAAGAAAGTAACTTATAATGATTATTTAGGGATAGAGAAAGCAGTTAAGCATTCTTCGGAATATTCCCGAAATAAGAGTAAAAATGTTCGGAATTTTAAAATAAGAGTGCGATGTTTTTCTTTACTAAATAGGAGTACGTTAATGTCATTTCTGAAAATTTTCTTTTAACACGACAATATACTACCAAAAGTGGCAGTATTTATTTCTATTTAGGGATAAAAACATACTACGTAATACTCGTATTTTGGAATTCTCAAACGTTTTCACTCCTATTAGTGTGATTTCTTAATTCTTCATAAAAGATTGTCATGATGCAATTTGCCTTTTGACTCTACCTCTTACATGATTTGATTTTTCACGAGTATACAACTATACATTGGACATTCTTGCTATACTGCTATTGATCTATTTTCAATTAGACCCTCAGTTAGAGACTTATAGTTGTATGCAAAAGGGTCTTTGGATCTACTTCTTAAAAGTGCTTATGCTCTTTCAGAGAGTAGAAGTAAATATTGGAGTTTTAGGTTGAAAGTGCAAAAATAATTTTAATTTCTCCAAATTGCTCTTAGAAGCAGTTTTTTAGAAGTTGGGGAAGATCAAATTTTAAAAAATTGAAATTGATTCTACTTTGCTTTTAAAAAGGAAGCTTTTAAAAAGGAAGCATAAACATAATCAATTTCAAACACTCAAATTAAGGAACAGTCACTTCATATGAAAGAGTAAGTGGTAGTTTTATTTGAGTTCTTGCCACAATTGTCTTTATCCGATTTTGTAAATGTAACTTGCAGGTCAGTGGTAATGGTTCCTGACCCCAGGTTGGATAGCTCTCACCATGAAAATGCTGACCAAGTTCTCAGTTCTTTATTAGATTTCAACCCAGCTGATTGGGGGTTGCCTCTATTTGATGAAATATCCAGCTAATCACAGCTAACAACTCAGCATAAATTTTATTCACTTTTCAGAGACTAGATTATTGGCACAAGTTTCACTCTCTTATTTTTTTTACCGCCACGATTTATTACTCTCGTTATTTATTACTCCCTCCGTCCCATAAAATTCTTCCCACTTTCTTTTCTTGACCGTCCCCAAAAAAAATTCTCATTTACCATTTTTGGCCAATTTGTGTGATTCACATTCATTTGACCTTTTCCTTACACAACTACAATCACACATTTCCACTTTATTCCACTTTCTTAATCTCCGTGCCAAGTCAAAATGGGAAGAATTTTCTGGGACGGAGGGAGTACCAAGCATGCATTTTGTTTGTATGATGCATATATTACGAATGATAACAATATTGGAAACTGATGAAATATCGGTATCGTGTATCTTTAGAAAATTAGTAGATATTAGGATATCGAGAACATAGCTTTTGGGGATATTAATTGAATTTTGTAAACTTTATATAGAGAATATAATATAGATTACCAATAATTTCTAGATATCTTTGAAACCTCTAGATGTTTTTCTGAACCTTATGATATTGTTTGTATATTTCTTCACATCTGAAATTTCTCTAGATTTCAAAGGAATTTTGTTTATAGGATGCCTTTACTTGGATTGTTTTCAGTCTCAGATCGGATCATATCAAATCAAACAAGACTTGGATAGTTATAAAATACACAAAGATCAGACATTTATTATACTAGTTCAGACTAAATCAGATCAGACAAATAAAAACATTCACGGATTTCAAAAATAAAAATACGGAAATAGCAAGACATTTATCATTATTTACCAATACCGCCACACATCATGAATCTGACCCTATGAGAGTATGAGACTATGAGTCTATGACCATTGAGAGAGTAAACAACGAGTTGTTCGAGCAATCCTTTTAAGTTCTCAATGTCATATGTTAACGATTGTTGAAGTAAAAAAGACTTCAAGATCGAAGCTTTTTGGATCCATAGACAAAGAGACTACTTCGTTAAAAGCATTAGCAATATTAGTAAAAAAGGGTAAAATCCAATGAGTTAATAAATTAATGAGAGAATTTCCTAGTAAAAATGTTTTGAAATTCCAAAATAGGAGTCATGTTTTTTATTCCTTGAATAAGAGTAAATTTCTACCAAGTTTAGCATTACTAGGCTTTTAAACATGACATTTTTTCCAAACTTGGCAGATTACTCTTATTCAAAGAATAAAAAACATGATACTCCTATTTTGGAATTTCAAAGAGTTTTACTCCTATTTAGGGCAATTTCTATAAATTAATTCATATTCCAATGAGTTCAGTAATTTTAACTTTTTAATTGATATTTAACAATTTGAGCAAAACCAATTATTTCAATGCCAAACTAATGTTGAACGTTTATTACAAGGTATGTTTCAGGTGTTCAACCTGATCTCTACATTACTAATTAGTAACATATCGACTTAAATTAGAATTACTATGGAGTATTAGAGATTTAGAGATGTAATAATTGCATGCAATTTTAACGCAGATTCAGTAGTGCACGTTGCACATTGTTTTCGCACTTGTTATTAGGGATGGACTGGACCCTACCCATGAGTAACTATTTAACTGTGCAGTTATCTTCAAAAATTCATTCGAGTGTTTTTCCGATTGAATGTTTAGCTGAAATTTGGTATGACTAAACTAGACTTAGTGAATAAGATGTTCAAAAAATTTAATCAAAAAATTCCACCGAGAACCTACCCAGATGCTAACGGCCGAGCAGAGTCTCCTATAAAAGGGTTTATTTGCACTTTTTACGTAAGTTCGAGAGCTTATTTGATAGTTCTCCATTTAAATGTTTCATTGATATTTTAATATAAATACAATATTCTAAAAGACAAAAATGACATCACCAAAACTATTCTACACGTGAGGCGCCACATAAAAGTCGTGTGCACCAACAAAGCGTGAAAGAAGGCGACCGAATTAATGTTAGCCAAGATTTTCTTAAACTGGAAAATTTTACTGGGTATTAAACAAGAAAAAAGTGATAGTTAAAAACCAGACACTTCAAGTCTATTATCGGACCCAAAGCAGTGGATTCCCAAATGAGATGATTGCTTTCATTATTTGTAGTGAGGACATCCATGTACACACAATAGAAAAGAAAGAAAATACTCCGTATATCTTATTTAGATGTGAGACACCTAAGAGGAAGGAATGTAATAAAAATATAACTAAAATTAAATAGGGATGATAACTGTGGAGGTAATGCGGCAGATAACGTAGCAGATATATATAAAACTGTAATTACCCCATTATCCATAATTCCCCATTTTACCGGAGTGATATAGTGCAAGTATCCATCAGGTTAGTTTAAATCATTAATCAACAAGATCTCATTTTATCCACTATTTTTATTTCAATATATTTTTCATAATTTTGTTAATTTATCTTTCCGTGTTAGTGTTATTTTACTTTTAGTGCTCCATATATATATTTATGAGAATGCAAGCACGTTGAAAACGATGAAAGATATGTACATTTACACCAGGAATTTGCAGGTGACAAAGTTAATTCCAAAGATGTAGATAAAGTGAGGGATATGGCAGTACAGTAGTAGGGCTTGATTCAATGGATCACTTTGTTACAATTATCTACTAATGTAAGAAAGTTATGAAGAGGTTCACATGGGGCATAACTGTACTAGTAAACTAGCACACCAGTATTTAGTATTAATACACATTACATTCATTCTGTTATAATATCCGGAGATGGTGAAACTCAACCACAAAATTTGTTTTCAACATTTTCATGCAACTGTAAAGTGTAGACCTTGTACATTTTTTTGTCTTATGAACTTATGGTCAGTAGCGACAACAAAAAACACACTAGTCGATGGCAATGATAAGAAAGCCAACAGATACATACATGAGAAGAACAGGGTAAAGTGCAAGAGCTTTCCGACTAGAAGTGACGGCCGTACTCATAAATGGATATGCAGCCCAAGAGCTCCACGCCAGGGTCACACCAACAACCACTAACTTAACTATTACATTGTCCATCACCATGCAGACAAGAGCCCCAACATCAAGTGGAAATAAGCAGTACCCTAGCAGACTCAAACTCTGGAAGAAGATTATGTGACCGCCCTGCGATAAATAACACTTCCATTAGCAGTCCATTGATACAGAGATCATAATATACTTTAATAAATATATCTGCCCCTAAGTGGAACCCAACTTGATTGAGTACGGAGGTTAAGAAAATGAAAACTGCAGGGCTGATATTTATTTAGAGGGAAATAGCATTAGATACATGATTGATTCCTTGGGGAAATTGACAAGAATTTTAGGACGGGTGAAAAGGGGGAAGTGTGGAGATTATTCTCGCAGAATAAGATCTCATTTTTTGGGTACTAATGTTGTGTCCCTACATGCATGCATGTCCATGTATTAAAGAAATAAAAAGTATTTGGCTTGTTCATGAGAACTAAATCATTACCAGCAGCAAGACATTCAATGTCAGAATCACAGCCCCTGCTGCGAGCAGTGCAAAAGCAACAGCAAAAACTTCAGACTGCGACAATATATATGTCAGGAAGAAGAAAAAATTAGGATTAATCAATCTTGAAATATGAACCCGGAACTAGATGAAATGCACAAGAGATTGCCAAGCCCTGTAACATGTAGCATACATGTGCCAGGATGCTTATACACCCTGGCTGTTTTCTGGTTACAAGTACTGCGAAGCAAATTATAACAAGGCCCTTTAAGACATAGATGCAAGCAATAGAATGTGTAAAATATTACAGAGTATTAGTGACTTTGCAAATATTTCTTTAGATGTAAGTACGTAACAACAGACTAATCGTATAATACTAGTTGCAAATATTAGTTGACTGGAATGTAATAAGTATATTCATATAATATGACTAATCAAAGGAAAATGTGTACTGATATATATTACTCTCTACTATAGGGGAAGGAAAATTCATACCGATGTAAATTACGCCCTACTATCCATTTGCCTATTTCAAGTTTTTAAACATCATCCTCAACACATTAACCTTAACTGCATTGATGTTGGTCAGTTGGTGGCATAAAATTTATGGTGTCAATTAGCCATCTAAAATCATATCACACTCCATGCAAAAGCACAAATTTAGATACTTCCAAGTTCCAACATTTGGTCACTTTGGGTATGATGTAAATTTAATATAGTTATGAACTGTATTTGCCAACCCTAAGCTAGTTACTATTCCTTCTGTCCGAAGGAGATAGGGTTTGACTAAGATGAACTTCTTATATTTAGTGAACTCAACAGATGTAGAAGGCTAGAAGCTTTTGCAAATTATGAATTTTCAATGATTCCCTCGAGCATATTTCAAAGATTGATTGTAGTGATTGACTAAAACTGCTTGCGACTTGGCTTTACAGATATTTTACTTAAAAACACCTTTTAGAACTGGACTTTTTTCTTTCGTCAAAAAAATATTGAAACATGACTCTACCTTTGGGATAAAGGGTGTATAATTTCGAGTCACATTGATGATATAACTATAAAGAATGGCAGATAAACATAATATCACAAAATGGGACACATATATTACATTATTATGTTCATGAACAAAAACTCACAGTTTTTGTGAAGTATTTGTTGTAGAAAGATGTCTTAAAATGCCAAACATGCAGGACCAAGAAATAAGTTCACAAGTGAACGCCAATAGGCAAGGCTGGAAGTACAAAAAAGCAATAGTAGTTCAAGAAAACTGCTCCATATACTAGCACTTAAAGTCATCTCTAAAAGCATTCATGTGATCCCCAACATATGCAATGACAGCATGGAGGGGTAAGTAGTATTTATGAAAAGATCTTCACAAATCATAATTACTATTTCTCATCAATCTTCCACTGAGAGATATTATAAACTTGACTCCTCAAACATATTCTCGACACTGCATATTAAGGATGCATACTCTTAACATCGCTAACATTTGGTATGCTTCTATTAGCATAACACAATTCCTAATTTTCACTACTAAATGATTAAGAGACCCATCTCAATATCATCAAAGCAATAAAATGAAGTGAAACTCACTATTCATCAAACCAATCATTGGGTAGAGTTCAATCGTTTCATAGCTTTAATTGCTTGAATGTGCAATACCTTCTTAACGGATGCTGACCACGAGAGGGTCAGTCCGAGAAAGACAATAAAGAAAAACGGTCCCCACAGATCCCAGTCGCGTAATGCCTTCCCAGGATCCTCCCTGAATGGGTTAGGGAAAACCACGAGCTTCAGATTACTGACAATCCTCGCAAGATCTCTTTTCACTGTATCCCAAACGGGCTCGGTGAGTGTATTCGGGCCGGATCCGAACCCTGAAGCATCAATACCAGGCTGCCCAAGCGAGGGGCGGGAGGAAGGAGGAAGGGGAGGTGGGACTTGAGGAACGGGAGGGGCGGGGGCGGGTTTCACGTTCGACAGGGGAGGTGGTGGAAGATTTGATGGTATGAACGGGGAGGAAGATACGGGAATGGATGCACGGAGAGGGGAC